ATGTTTTTGACCTAAAGAAGTTCTCTGCTTCAGAGGAGGTTCTCCTGAGGCTGCTGCCTGTGGTTAAAGCTTCCAACAAAGCTCTGTAAGGACACTGATTGTTACTGTATTTATTGTTCCATCAACGGGTACTTCTCTGATATATTAGTGTTTAAGTTGTCATCTTGCTAACTTTTTTAACATTGCTAGGATATCTTAAACATGACCAACTGTGAACACACTGCAGACAGTTGTAACAGGTCTTAATTTAATCTGTGAGTTCAAGCAATTTGTTGCTTGATGTTTAATTTAAAATGCATGTAAACCATCAACATGCACCCATTTAATATTTACCTTTCACCCCAGGCCAGCTTGCTGCATACCACCTGTCAGACAACCTCTGTTTATGTTTGTAGAATTTTCATCTTTGGTTGCATCCTCTCATAAAAGGAAAATTGGGACATCCATGGCTCAACTAGCCAGACACAGCCCTTTATTGTACCGGTCACGTGATTATCTTGAAATGATACACACTGTGACACGGGGATTTGCCAAATGGATGTGTCGACATGACGGTGTTGCTGGAGCCATCTTTCATTAGCAATGGACATTTATTTGTAAAACATGTGCCATATGCACACGACTTAATATACAATTAATAAAGTAATGCAGTACTGTTTGATATTCTATGTAGTTGTGGCAGTAGCACCCAAAGGTGGTTTGTTTGTATATAGTGAGTAATAAATAACTTATAAAATATATACAAAATATTTAATATAGCACGTATAGCGACTAGCATGGCAGAAAGACCTAGATAGAAAGGATGTTCAGCATTTTAGGGTGATTAATGATATGGATTCAATACAATTTAGTTAATTTCTATAGCGCAATTTCAATGTCATCTCAAGGCACTTTCCAGTTCACCAGATCATCCAGTCAGATTGATTCAACGTTTTCTATCTAAGGGAAACCAGCTGATTGCATCGACTCATTGACTCGAAGGCAATGAGTCATGGGCAAGATGAAAACGAGATGAAAATGTACTGACCGATGCCACAGGTGTGATAGGAAGATTGGGTATTTTGAAGAGTTTACAAATGAGGAAAATTAGAAGGTATAAAGAGCAGAAGTGACCACTGTGGATGTAACAAGGATTAGTGAGGATGAAGTAAGGAAGGCATTGAAAAGGTAGTTAGTCCTGATGACATATGTGTTTAGGTTCTGGAAAATACAAATGAATAAAGTTAATGAGTCATAAAATGAAAATATTGAAAAGACTAGTGAAAGCTAGAATATTGACAGAACTGAGCAACTGTTAGCAGTAGTATGGTTTCATGCTATAGAAAAAAAGGAGTTGTTGGACTGCATGCAAAAGTCTGGAGTAGCAGAGAAGTATGTTATTAGTTGGAGGGCATGAATGAGAGCTGTAAGACAATGGTAAGGTGTGCAGTAGGTGTGACAGAGGAATATGAGGTGAAAGTGGGGCTGCATCAGGGATTTGCTCTGAACTCTTTCTTGTTGGCAGCGGTGATGGACATATCGACAGATGAGTTTAAACAAGAATCTCCATGGACTATAAAGTTTGCAGATGACATTCTGGTCAGCAATAAGAGGAGATGGAGGTTTGCCTTAGAAAGCAGAGTTAAAGGAAAATTCCGGTTTTTAACACTTTTAGCCCATTTTCTGTAGTGTCCAGGATGAAATCGAATGGTCGACACCAAAATTTTGACAATTGGTCCTGTCTCTGCT